GGTTTCCACAAAAGCAAAATCACTGGCTTGATCCATAAAAACACACTAAGACATAATGGAGACCTAGAAGATGAACAGACCTATGGAACAGCTGTCCTGCCCTACATAAGAGGTACTACAGACAAAATCAGTAAGATGCTACACAGGCATCATCACATCAAGACTGCTTTCAAAATAGACAGAAAAATAGCCATACTAAGAAACTAAGAAACCCCAAAGATAAAATTGACCTGGAAAACCAAGGCATATACGAAATCCCCTGTGAATCATGCCCGGCCACAGACATTGGACAGACCAATAGAAAAATAAGTACCCACCTGGATGAACACAAAAATGCAGTAAAAAAAGCTGGAACACACTTCCTTACTAGTCCAACACATGAAAGCCACAGATCATAGCATCAACTTCAATGGCACCAAAACCCAAGCCACTATAGAAAACCCCAGCCACAGAATTTTCAGAGAAGCCATAGAGATTGAAAAAAGACCTGAAAGCATGAATAGAAGAGATGATTCCACCAGACTGTCAATTATTTGGAAGCCTGCACTCACCAACAAAAAAATCTCCACACCACAAGCCAGGCAAACACCTGGGCACAAACAGATCCCCCCTGATACCTCCAGCTCAAACACACCCCAACCAGGCACCAAGATGAAACCTAGCTTCCTAATAAGTGATAGCCATCCATTTACTTGGAGCCAAGCTGCTTTGAAAGCCTCCAATGCAGGAACACAATGTTGCCAGCCAATCAAGCCAAAAAAAGCCACAAAACAGACAGAAGATATTAGAAATACCAATCAAGCAGAACACAGCAAACTCCAAGACCAATAAACACAGACCAAGACTCCCAACCAATCAGGATGAAGAAAAAACCATTCTGGCACAGCAGTAGGCTAGCCCCAATTTTAAAACTGAAACGGCTGTGAAAGTCTGACTCACAGACGAACACAATACTGATGAGATTCTGCCGAAACGTTGCTACAACTTTAAAAGAACAACTATAATGACATGGGAAAATACCCGAACAAAGCTGAATACCATATATATATATATATCATTGGCATATATATATATGCCAATGATCATGATTTGCTGAAGAAACATATGAAGAATAATAAATATGTCTGAATACATATTGTAGCATTAGTTATTGTAACATCAGTCCCAAAATTTGAAGCCTAAGTACCATTCTAATGCTTCCATCCTAGAAACTTTAGACAAAATCTCATTTGTGATGTGAATCTAGGAGCCTTAAAATATTAGCCAAAAAATGAAAGAAAAATTAACAACTAAAAAAAAGTTTCTTGAACCATGGCATATTTGTCGGATGCTGTCTGTGTTATCAATCTATAAAGCAATCTGGAGAATAGAAGGTGATGGAAATGGAAAATAAGTTTATAGCGCTACAGAGTGCCACTTGAAGATTGTCTCTTCACTGTTCTGCTGTAGCACACTAAAAACCATTAGCAGCTGGATGTAAGCTTCTTGGATGTAAGTGGTGGATGGATGTAAGCGATCAGAATGGATGCAAGTGGCAAATAGGAAAGAGGAGTTAACCACTTCTTGTGTCATTGGTTCTATAGGGGGTAGAGGGAATGACATCTACCCTCTGTAGGGATAGGAAAAGCTGCTACAAAGACAATAGTCAGATGAAAACAACCTGAGTCCAAAAATGTCATTTGAGAATGGGTTGACCCTTTCTAGTTCTCATGAAAATAAAGAGAGGGAGGGATGAAGCACATTCCGATTTATATATGTATCTTAATGCATGCAAAATATTTGGTCCTCGAGTGGCCAAGCTTTATGGCTGCTAATTAATAAAGAAAACATGTCACTGAATGGCACATGTTTTTAAAAGCACAAGGTGGGCTCCTAAAGTCTTTCAGGGGAAAAAGATGGTTGGAAAATACCAGTGAAAACCTTATCAGAATCCTTTTGAAGAAGGAAGACTTAGAGAAAAGTTAAGACCAAAGGGTCTTTCAAAGACTCTCCCCATAAAGCTCTTGAAATGAAATTGGCTAAGGGGACACAATCTCACTTTTTCTCAACCAAAAAAAAGTACTGGCCAGAAAGGAATGTCCTTGGTTGAGAAAAAGTGAGGTTGATGTTCATTCACTTCATCCATTGCTAGAGATATAGTATATTAATTCCTTCCCTTCCCTCTCTCTTTCATACACACATGCACACCGCCTATTTTTCCTTCCACATTTCTTCACTTTTATGACCTTATCACATGTATTTCTTCAGATCAGAATAACTTTCTTTAAGCATCTTGGGCTGGTTGGTAGACATTTGGTGCACATTTCCCCAGACAGGAGTTTTGCTTTATAAATTTGTCTAATGTAAGTTTTTGTAAAACAATGTCTCCAACACAACAAATTTTTCACATTATCTTCAAGAATGCATACATTTTCCCTAAGGTTTCCCTATTTTTTTTTAAATTAGCAACCACATTTTAAGCAAAGTTTGACTCTTCATTAAGTTTGATAACAAATAATGATACATGATAACCATGTACAGCTTGAAAATACAAAATTAAATATACTTTCATTCAAGCATTAACAAAATGTCTCTGTCATTCATTACAAAACTGATGAAACTTGGAGATCTGCAGGAGAGGTGCATCCACAAAGTTCATTTTAACTATTCTAGTTTTATGGAAAGCTAACCCGTTTTCATGGGGTTTTTTTTAACATATTTTGGATTCTTTTTATATTTCTACTGTTTTTAACTCTTGAAACCCTCCAATATTTATAAGTAAGAACCAGTCCTACATGAAATAGGATCTGCATACTTAAAGAATTGCCTCTCTCCTACAGTATCTACCCATCTTATTCACTCCAAATCCCATCAGTTAAAAGAATATAATCCACTGAGACCCAGAAGGCAGGCCTTTTGTGTTGTAGCACATGCCTTTAAGAATAGTATCCCCTCCCACCCAGAGAGCCACATGGTCCCCAGCTTGCTTGCATACAAATGATCTTTGAAAACTTAATTGTGACTTTAAGCCTAAAAGTAAATAGGTACAGCAATAAGGCTCTGCTGGACTCTCTTTGGATGATGAAAAAACCCTTGACCTTCTAGAGATAACACTCCTGGACGAGATGGTTCCAGTTAGGTTGGAGCCAAGACTCCGCTCCAGCTGAGGCAGATCCAGCAAGGCCCTGGACTCCTGCCTGCACTGAAACTTCTCAGACTCTGTGATTCATCCATCTAGCCCAAGGGTCTTCAAACTTGGCAAGTTTAAGACTTGTGGACTTCAACTCCCAGAATTCCTGAGCTAACATGACTGGAGGAGGAATTCTGCATGTTGAAGTCCACAAGTCTTAAAGCTGTCAAGTTTGAAGACCCCTGATCTAGCCCCAAGCCGAACTAGGCCTTAAGGATCTGAAGATAGAGGACTGAGCTACACAGACCAGAGACATTAGCCAAGAAGCAGACGCTGAGGAATAACATGCATTGGAAGGAGGCTCAGCATGGGTGGTTTATTGATCTTATTCCTTGGGAGAAATTGCTGAGAACAACCTTTCAAGCCTCAGCCCTGTTGTGTTTATCTTATCATGCTGTTGTGCCATGGACTCTTGATTCCACTTCACTGTGTTTCTTGTCTTTCCTCTTGGCTTTGTTGTTTGTTTATTGGATTCCTGGTCTCAACCCATTCCAAGCCTTGACTGCATTACATTTGTCATATTCATAGGTAAAACAAAAAAAACTCTTTGCTCTAAAAAGTTCTGACTGAGTCTGTATATCTCTGGAGTGTGGCAGCCAGCCAGCTTAGTATCTTATTGGCTGGCAGACATCAGTACAAACACACACACACACATACACACACAAATGGATGGAGATGGGACCTCCACTTTTAGTGGTGGGTGCGATGGAGTTGTTGCTTTGGTGGCTTCCCTCGAAGGGAAGGTTATATGTTAGGCTTTGTTTTGTATTTTGTTAAAATATATATATTCTGTTTTCAACCTGTGAAGCCAGTCAAAGTTTAACAGTGTAGAAATAAGATAGACAGATAAATAGACAGGTACTCAGACAGACAGATAAATACTTTTTCCCTTAACCTTTCAGGAAGCAGTATCATTTCTTAGTAACAAAAATAATCTCAAAACATGATAGGTTTTTTTTCTTTTTAACAAGGAAAGTAAATGTAATAGTGTACAGCAATTACAGGGGAAGCCAGCTTACCTCCAAAATAATAGCTGTGCCCTGAATAAATCTGTGAAACGGTGGTAGCATGAACAGCTGATGCCACATCATTATCAAGAGTTAAGGTGATGCGATGTCTTCTGGCATTGATGTTAACTGAGTGCCACAGGCCATCATATAGATTGCTGCCTAAGAAACAAAGAAGTATAAACCTGATCAACCATTCACATCAGGACCAAAAGGAAGAGACAATGTCTATATGAATCATTCTGATCCTTCCAGGAAGCAACAAAACCATTCAGTGGGCAAATAACCAATAGGGGGATTTTTGACATAAACACAGCATGGCCTGAAGTCCTCAGACACTCATGAAGTTGCTACATATACCCAGGGATTCTACCAGTTCACACCTATTCTCTAGAACCAGTTAACAGTCTAAGCAGTTTGGAGAATCGGTTGTTAGAAGAAATTACTGGCCTAATCCTGTAAGGAAGGCAGGAAGGAAACATTCTAGTGTTGCTTACAGAAACTGCCTCTTCATTAACCCTTATTACATTCTTGGCAGGACTAGACTTCCTGTCTCAGGAACATCTCTGGAGTTTTTTCTCCTCCTTTGCTGGTACTTAGCTTGTGTGGAGTGACCATTCAAAGTTACAATGGCACTGGAAAAAGTGACTAATGACCATTTTTCACACTTACGACTGTTGCAGCATCCCTACAGTCATGAGAGGCCAGGCAAGGAGATGTGTGCCTCGATGTGAGTGATATTGAGTTGGCCACGCCCAGCCAATAACATGACCACCAAGCCACGTCCACCCAGTCACATGACCACCAAGCCATGCCCACCTACTAAGCCATGCCCACAGAACCGGTTGTTAAAAAATTTGAATCCCACCCCTGCATATACCAACTTGTTTAATCACCCCAACTGAGAGGGTATAAGCTATCTCAAACCCAGAAAGCTCTTGTTGTGGATATTTAATGTGGGTAAGGACTTGCCATGTTTTTAATTTGTAAATAAGAACCATCCTGAATAGACATATTTTCTATAGGATAAATGTATGTGCATTCTTCATCTGATTATGAGCATTTTTATTGCTGACAGAATTCTGATATTACATGGAAGTGACCAATTATATAGATCACATTCAAATGTTAACGCTTCAGAGTGGGTGTATTTTGCTTTAAATTGTGATTATCATGAACCTTCGTAGCATCTGTTCTCAAGAAGCCATCTGATTTAATTCTCAGCTGCATCATGTTGGCCATGAAATAATATTCCTGCACATTTCCATGGGAATCTCATTGTTTCTAATTAAGCTTATTTCCCTGAAAGTGTTTTAGTATCTAAACTGAGAGGCATTTTTGTGAGTTTAAAGTGCTGCTGGATACTCAGCAATAAAGTAACTCTGGAACTCTTGGAGAAGCCTACACAATGCACTCCAAAGAGAGTTTGCTGAGTAGGTGTTATGTTCACACTTGTAGTAATTCAGTTTTAGCAAAGACAAATACAGATGTCTTCATTTGGATAAGAAAAATCAAAGGCATTAGTATGGGGGGGGGGGTTGAGAGAAGAATTTGGATGTCTTCGTGAACATAAGCTGAACAAGGTTTTTAAGAAGACTGGACAGCCAGCTGTTTGAAGTGGTATAAGGTTGCCTGCTTATATAGTGATACAATATGTGCTATATTTTCGTTCAGATGTTGTAAAAATACTGTATCCATTCTAAGCACTATAGTTGAGAAAGAAAAGACTAAAGAGATACATTTGAAACTATTGGGTACAGTTGTTGTGGTTAGCTGGCAGCAGGTGTGATGGTGGAGGAGAGTGAGGAATCAGATGAGTGGCCAGGACCATTAGGGAGTGGACTGCTGCCTTCAGAGATTGTGGGGGGCTGGCGATGAGGAGGTTCCCGAGGAGCCTGTGCCAAGTGCGCATGCACGAAGGATTACTTGGAGAAAAGAACAATTACAGAAGCACAGGCAACTTGGGAGTAAGGCTGCAAGATAATGGCCCCTCCCTCAAGAGGATAAAAGCCAGGTTTGAAGAAGCATTCTTTGCAGAAAGCAAAGATGCTCTGAAGCTCAGCCTCATGAACATCATAGTTAGCATTTGAAAACTTTTGTAAACTAGTTCTTATCTCTGGGTTTTTGGCAGCCTTGACAAATAACTTGGCAAGGCTCTTTCTTGTCAGAGCTAATTAGTTGGAAGCAGCCTTTTATCTATGAAGGAACAGAATTTGTGGATTAAACCTTAAAAGGTGGGGGGCTGCTGCCTTTGTCTTGTGTTTGCTCTCTTGGAACCAGGTTGGGTCAGAACAACAGTTAGCTTGGAGAACAAAAGAAGGGTTCAAGAAGGGTTCAAGAAGGGTTATGTACAATTGTGGAGTTCTTCCAGAAGATGGAGGGGGCAGGGGCAGTGGAGGCAAGAATGGGTTTAAATCAGAAAAACAAATATTCTAACTGTAAGAGGCACTCAATAGTTAAAAAGAAAGCTTTAAGAAGTGTAGAATGTCCTTCACTAAATGCCATCAGAGGCTGGATGGCCATTAGTTGAATATGCTATAATATGAGATTCTTACAGTAAGTAGGAGATTGGATTAGATTATCTCCAAGGTAATATCCAACCCCACATCTGTGATCTTATAATTCATTTAATTTATATTAATTTGTTCACATGATGAATTACTTAATGGAGCATTTTACTACTTGTTTCAGGCAGTTTATTACCTCCAGGCCCTTGATGGGCTATCAGATCCTCTGGATCAGAAAGAAGGTTGCTTATTCTTTAGCAACTCTGCTTGAAGAAGGGCTTCCTAAGTTCTGATATTAATCTTTTATTTTTGGTTAGTCTGCTCCTCAGCCCTTCTTCATAGTTTGGACAAGACTTCTACTCTAGCCATAATTTATAGCTTGTCTATGTATTTGCTGTTGTTTCTCTCCTAGCCCTGATAGGAACAGGGATTTAGGAATAATAATAATAATAATAATAATAATAATAATAATAATAATAATAATAATAATAATAATAATAATAATACTTAGTACTATTTGGAATTCCAGCCAAGTAGTTGGAGTAAAGAATAAATTTATTGTAAAAATTATTTAAGGCAGCTGAACCTTTCCATGAAAAGCCTGTCCTATAAAAAGATATGTATTTAAAATGTCACAGGACTCTCTTGCTCTTGTGTATGTTCATACTTCTTCAATAGAATGATAGGCTTTTCTTAAGAATTCAACAATAGAGCACTGAGTATATAATGAGGGTTTATTGCCAGATGTCTTTTGAAATGTCATCTTGGTATCCTAGAATAATGTCAAACCAAAGATTTGTTATAATATCAACCACAAAGCAGGAAATCGTTTTAAAAAATGGAATGGGATAGGATGGGATGAGATGGGATGGGATGGGATAGGATGGGATGGGATGAGATGAGATGGGATGGGCTAGGATAGGATAGGACAGGATAGGATAGGATAGGATAGAAATTCTTTATTGGCTGAGTGTGATTGGAAATACAAATAAATTGTCTCCGGTGCATAAACTCTCAGTGTACATACAAGCAATCCTTTCCATTAAAAAGGAGAGAAATACTAAGCAGAAAAGGGAGTTTCTGGCCATAGAAATACAGAAGCTCAATTTTCATCATCCTTCTACATTGGGTCTGCAAATTAGATCAATGGAAATTGGAGCTTTATAATACACAACAGACCATATATTATGCTTGGATTAAGAAATGACAGTTTGAGGATTGGCTTCCTTCCTTAAAACAAAGAATCCCAATTCTATGTTATGGACTAGGATCCTTATTTAACAACAAGAATAAAAGTGAGAAGGAAATATGCATCTGGTAAATATGATACCTGCAGTGATGCCCATGTATTTCTGTGTTCCTTTTTGGATGTTGAGGATCAGTCTGCCATGGTGGAGATACAACAAGAGTGAGCCAGAATTTTCTGATAGTTCAGTAGACAGAAGGAGTCCATCCTTGTTCCATGTTCTAAACTGGAAGCTGACAGATAAGCCATCAATCTGAGGAGTACCGGATAACAGTAAGTAACTGCTATTGGAGCTCTCAAAAGTGATGGGAGTGATTGGCGGTTCTGAACAGGAAAATGTCACATTGCCCTGGAAAGTAATAAGAACAAAAAGAGGAGAAATACAACAGATGATGTTCAAACTGTTTTTCCATTCAGCTGCTTGGTAAAATTTGCCATTATCACAATGGAAAGATAAAAATGAAAAGGATGTTTAGAATATAACTGAATGTATATTAGGGGTGTACTAAGTAGCCAAAATTTGATCAGAATTTTAAAACTTGACCTCCAGTTAACATTTACACATATAAGAAGTAAACAAAACAGACCAAGATAAAACAGAACAAAACAAAATAGATAAAATAAAAACAGCATGTAGATAAATGGATAAAAGGACTTCTTTGTGATGTGATTCTAGGGCAGGTCTGGACAATTAATTGTTTCAAGGAGCCTCATGAGAAACTGGGAATGTTGTGGAGGGCTGAACCAATGTGAAGATATATAGGCATGCATGCATCCACATATGTAAATTGGGGGAAAATGTCATATTCAAAATAAAAACAATTGAAGTTGTATTGCATTCAGGGTGTACACTTATTTACCTCACATGGGCTGGACAGGAACAACCAAAGGGCCGGTTGTGGCCCAGGGACTGTAAAATGCCCAGGTCTTGGCATTTTTGGATAGGGTTTGGATATCTTAAGCTACTATGGCAGTAGCTACTGGTAAGAACTTGGCAATTTTGTTCATAATGCCAGGGTTCTGGTCTCAGAGTAGAAAACCAACCATTTTTCCCTTATTGAAAGCTTGATCTCTGCTAGAAGATAGCATAGTATGCCAGCACATAAATTCTCAGAGAAATGACAGTGAAGAAATACATACTATAAGGTTTTGGGTTCATGCTGGTCATTGGGGCAATTTTTCTCATTAGATGTGATTTTATCCTTTTATTTTTTCTCATCCTATATTGCAGAGGGCAGAACTCTAAAGTTGGCCAGAAATAAGACTCTATGGTACGTGAGTGAACTAGACTGAGTAAACAGTTTGCAGATTTAGAAGGTTTCCAACTCCAACCAACTTTGCAGGCTCTACTGCAGTCTACATAATTTGCATTGTAGAAAACCTGAGATCCGACCACAACAGGCGAGTTAGTAAAAAGAAAAAAATAATTTGAACAACTACAGCTAAATCTAATTAACTGATTCCCTCAGTAAAAATTCAGCTACCATAACTGGCAATGTAAGAGATCTCAGAACATGTCTCCTATCCAAAGGGTTTGGTTGGAGGTCTTACATGGCTAGATAACACACTGAATGTGAAAACTGCTATATGAAAAGCCTGCCTTTTGTTTCAATACACCCAGTCCTGCAGAATTTAGATTTTAACAGGATTCACTGTTAGTATGAGTACTGCACTATAATCCATTTGCAACATCAGACTGATCATTCTAAACTCCTGTGGAGCATGGTTTATACATGAATTGGACTAAGATGAAAATCTTCTTTGCTTGTACTACTTTTCTGCCACTTCCACTCCAACAACAAATTTCTCAAGGCCATCGATTTCTAAAGGTTTTAACTACAGCTGATCAAAATCAAACATTTCTTTTCAAACTAAATAATTTCCAGGGCAGTTAGTAATATTGACGATACTGGGAACACTCTGAGAATGTTCAAACTATTTTTGATAGCACCTTCAGTTCAGAGCTAAATGCATTCTTGCAGAGTCGCTGAGAGCCCAGTTTTTTTGTTCTCAACAATTCCACAGTTGTTTATTCACCAAAATCAAATGACTAGCAATTAACAATATAGGATGGGACGTATGCATACAATTCTTCCAAAGAAAAGGGCATTGTGGGAGGACTGAAGGGTTGCTTTTAATCCAAGGCACTTTGCCAAACATCAACTGAAATCTGATAAATCAATACAAAAAAAATATTTTCTGTGAGGATAGCCTCTGATTAGAGCAGATGCCTCATTATAATAGGAACATTAGAAGTAACGAAATATGGCCAATGTGTGGGAAATGTTATATGATGCTTGGGGATTTTTTTGATGAAAGGATGATAAATGGAAAATGACAGTTATTATTTACATTGGAAAATTAGTTCTGGTAAGAGATTTAATTCACAACAAGATGAAACAAAATCTTTAGTGGGAATTTTTTTTTACATGAAAACAAATTGAGGCATATCAATGGATTCCTCTTTGAATTCATTAGTATTTGTTATATGGCCAAGATGATGTGAGCTGGAAATTTGGAAAATATAATCCAAACCTGCATAAATTACACTTTGTATCATCTGATGAAAACATACCACTGGGACTGCTTTGTCTGGTCATAATTAGGTACTGGCTAAAAGTCAAATAAAACGGCCAGGTAATGGAGAATATGATAATTGCTTTATGAAAAGGCTGCCTTTCATTTCAATATACTCAGTCTTGTAGAACATAAGATTCATTACATGTCAGAGCAAGATGAATTAATTTCATATAATAAATAGCCCAATCTCCAGAATTTAGAAGGAAGAATTTTGATCCATCAAGTCAAGAAGCACAGCTAATAATGACCAGTCAAAATTAGCTGAATAGTAATAGGATACTTGATAATAGGAATAAATGAATAAATGAATCATCCTAAATTATGAAAAACATACATTTTATTTTTCCATTTTTTTAACTGCCGAAAATTCATTTTTTGTTCAGAACTTTCCCTAAAATGTACAAGTTTTTAAAGAAACTTTCCCTAATTCTCTTTTTAAAGCCACCATATCTAGTGTATACACTTTGGGGGAATATTTTCCTAAATAAAAACTTCTTTATAAACTTTTTTGATCAGACCATAATGGCTAATGCTGTTCTACATATTCATTGGCATATTATCCCATTTCATATCCAGTAAAATACAGCTGATATTAGACACTGGCATTAACTCTTTTATTTGTCAGTTTGATTGCTGTATACTTATAAACTGTGGCATGTTACTCATAATAACTTTGTGACCAATGCCTGAATTATGACCTTCACAGGTCTGTAAAGCACAGGGAAGCTGAATAAGATCATAAGACAGTCATGGTTTTAGTTAGTGACTGTTTTGCCTAATGAAGTTAGTTGCCAGTGCCATTTGAAGTCTCTAAACAAGAGCTATCTGTGGTTAATCAGAACAGTGGTTAAAATCTTCATATAGCATAGGCATGGGTGCTGGTTTGAAATCAAATTTTGTTGTTGATGTTGCTTTGATTATTATTTTTCTAATTTAAACAACCAGTTTCTCTTTCTCTTCTTCTTTCTTTAATAGCCTTAGGGGCGTACCATTTTTTCCCTCAGTTACTTGAAGATAAAAAAAAAAAAGCATATTTCAAAAGTTGAATGAAGAAACACATTGTGAGGTCACTTTGAAGGTGAACAAGAGATTAATAGAGGGTGATGCAGTGGTGGGATTCAATTTTTTTACTACCGGTTCTGTGGCTTGGTGGGCATGTCCATGTGACTGGGTGGGTGTGACTGGGTGGGGTTTTGTTTTTGCTTTTTTGCAGCCACCCCACCACCCACTTTTTGGGCCTTCTGGGCCTCAGAAGAGCCTGGGGAGGTTGCTCCTCTAAGGCTCAGGAAGAAAAAAATAGCATGGGAGGGCCATGCAACACCGCTCCATGCTCCATTTTGGGAGCTTCCTGGCCTCAGAAGAGCCTTGGGGAGGCATTTTTGCTCCCATAAGGCTCCTCTGAGGCTCAGGAAGGCAAAAAATTGAGGGAGGGCTGAGCCATTTTTTGCCTTCCGGGGCCTCAGCAAGGGGAATCCTGGCACAGCTGATCGTATGTACATCTGATTGTCGGGAGGGAAAAAAAGAAAGAAATACCTTTGGTGAACGTCAGGTGGGCAGGGTGAAGTGAGCATCAAGTGGGAGGGTGACCGGGTTGGGGGCGTGGCCAGCCAGAACTTACTACCGGTTCAGTGACCCACACCAAATCCTTGCTACCGGTTCGCCCAATCCGGTGTGAACCGACTGAATACCACCACTGGGGTGATATCATCCATTGCTGCCCTCCAGAAAGACTGCTTGCCTTGTCTGATGACAAGGAAAGTACAGATAAAGCTTTAGTAAGTTCCAAAGAAAAGGTAAGTTCTTAGGGAAATGTTTGTCCTTTTGTCTTAGCTGTTTATGCTTCTCCCTGATTTTATGTTTGATATACTACTGTACACTGACATGACTATATCAAAGGTAAGTAACTGAAAAAATATATAATAAGATTATGTGCACATACTGTATATACTTTAATTGGTCTTTGATGGAAACTTAATTCGGACTGGACAATTCACCAGTTTTCTCACTATTTAAGAGATGAGTTATATAGGATTGAAGATCAAGATTATTACCAAAAAAATTATCAGGCCTCAGCTTATCCCCAGTGCCTCCTCTGAAATAGTTGATATAATAATGTAAACCCACTTAAAATGAAAACCAATTTTTTCCCTGACTGCGATATAGAATAAGAAGTTTCTGGACCTCGGGGGAAGCAGAAGATCAGATGTGTCGAGCTTCTAAAAAATTTATCTAGTGCATTCATCTGATATTTGAGAACTCCATGGAGTCCAGTGTTTGCAGTCTGATTAATGATCCCTTTAACAGATACTGAAATCTACTCCAAAGGGGTTTCTGCTGCTTTTATAACAATTTTAACTTACTAAACTGAGACATTTAAAGGAAGATACTTAACATTTCTTTGGTAGATCCTGTCATCAGACAAGAGTTTTGGCGCTACCTATTTTAACAACAACAAAATTTCTGACGGGTCATTGCTTAAGTTCAAATGGATCCTTTTAGCAATTATAAAAGATAAAATAAATTGTTTGCTTAAAGATCATTAGAAGCGAATTAGTACAGTTGCAATAGCTTATTGAACAGGATATTGCTCATGAATTAATGATTGTGTATATATCTAAAGCAGGAGTGTCAAACTTGTGTCATCACAGCAGCATCATGTGATGTATCAGGACTTTTTCCCCTTCACTAAACCGGGCGTGGGTATGGCCAGTGCATGAAGCATCTGCCCACGGGTCAGGAGTTTGACAGCCCTGATCTAAAGGATGCCAA